TAAACCCCAAAGGGCTCTGTAAACCGAATTGTCCATGGTTGTCTCTGTGGGAAATCCTGAAAGGGAAAGTTTCTTGGGAAATTTTGGCAAACCTTGCAAACCCCAAAAGTTCTCTGTAGCCAAAATGACAGTGGGCAAATTTAGTGAGAAAAAATGTCTGTAAACCAAAGGGTTTTGGGGCCCAAAATCTCTGTGGGGAAAAATCTCTGTGGACAAAGGGCTCAATTTGGGGAAAACTCTGTTGGAAAAGGTTTTTGGGGGGCCATTAAAAATTGTCCATGGGAAAAAATCTATTTGGGGAAACTGTCCAAGGGGAAAGTGTCTTGGAAAAAAATTTTGGCCCCAAAAATTCTGTGGGGTTTAGGGAAAAATGCTTGAGCAAAGTCTCGTTTTAAAATCCCCTGTAGGCCCAAATGTCCTTGATTGGAAAACTCCCGTAGGAATGTCTCTTAAGACCAAATCTCTTTGGCCAAAATCTCTGAAAAAAATCTCTGGAAACCGTGGGCAAAGTCTCTGTAGGCAAAGCCCTGTGGGGCAAAGTCTTTGTGGGCAAACCGTCCGTAGGGCAAAGTCTTGGTAGGCAAAGTTTCTGTGGGCAAAGGGTCAGTGGTCAAAGTGTCAGTGGGCAAAATGTCTGTAGGCAAAGTCTGTAGGCAAAAGTGTCAGTGGGCAAAGGGTCTGTAGGCAATGGAACAGTTGGCAACTGTCTGTAGGAAAAGTCTCTGTAGGCAAAAGTCTCTGTAGGCAAAATCTCCAGGCAAAGTCTCTGTACGCAAACTGTCCGAAGGCAAAGTCTCTCTGTAGGCAAAGTCTGTGGGCAAAGTCTCTGTAGGCAAACTGTCCGTGAAGGCAAAGTCTCAGTAGGCAAACTGTCCAAGTCTCAGGGCAAAGTCTCTGTAGGCAAACGCTCAGTAGGCAAAGTTCTATAGGCAAAGTAGTGGGGCAAAGTCTCTAGGCAAAGTCTCTATAGGCAAGTCTCAGTAGGCAAAGTCTCTGTGAGGCAAAGTCTCTGTGGGCAAAATTCCGTAGGCAAAGTCTCTATAGACAAACAGTCCCAGGCAAACTGTCAGTGGGCAAAGTCTCTGTCGGCAAAGTCTCTGTAGGAAACGTCTCTGTGGGCAAAGTCTTTGTAGGCAAACTGTAGGCAAAGTCCTGTGGGCAAACTGTGTCTCTGTGGGCAAAAGTCTCTGTAGGAAACTGTCTGTAGGCAATGTCTCAGTGGGCAAAGTCTCTGTAGGCAAAGTCAAACCGTCCGTAGGCAAAGTCTCTGTGTGTAAAATTTCAGGTAAAGTTCTAGGCAAAGTCAAAGTCTCAGTGGGCAAAGTCTCTGTAGGCAAACCTTCTGGGCAGTCTCAAGTGTCTGTAGGCAAAGTCCTCTGTAGGCAAAGTCTCTGTAGGCAACTGTCCGTAGGCAAAGTGTCTGTAGGCAAAAGTGTCTGTAGGCAAAAGTTTCTATAGGCAAAGTGTCTGTAGGCAAAGTCTCTGTAGGCAAGTCTCTGTAGCCAAAGTCTCTGTGGGCAAAGTTTCAGGTGGCAAAATCTCTGTAGGCAAAGTCTCTGTAGGCAAAAGTCTCTGTAGGCAAAGTGTCCGTAGGCAAAGTCTCAGTGGGCAAAGACTCTGTAGGCAAAAGTTTCTGTAGGCAAAGACTCCTGTAGGCAAACTGTCTGTAGGCAAAGTCTCTGCAAAGTGTCAGTGGGCAAGTGTCTGTAGGCAAAAAGTCTCTGTTGGCAAAAGTCTCTGTAGGCAAAGTGTCTGTAGGCAAAAGTCTCTGTAGGCAAACTGTCTGTAGGCAAAGTCTCTGTAGGCAAAGTGTAGGCAACTGTGTAGGATTCAAGGGCAAAGTCTGTGGGCAAAGTTCTGTGGTCAAATTGAAGGCAAAGTTTGTCTCTGTAAGGCAAAAATCTCTGTGCAATGTGTCTGTGGGCAAAGTCTCTAGGCGAAGTCTTCCGGGCAAAGTCTCTGGGCAAAGGCAAAGTGTCAAATGTCTAAGGCAAAGTCTCTGTAGGCAAACCCAAAGTCACAGTGGGCAAAGTCTCTGGCAAAGGCTCCGGGGCAAAAGGCAAAGTCTCTGTGGGCAAAAGTCTCTAGGTGGGCAAAAATCTCTGAAGGCAAAGTCTCAGTAGGCAAAAAACAGTCCGTACTGGGGCAAAGTCTCAGTGGGCAAAGTCTCTGTAGGCAAAGTCTCTGTGGGCAAAGTCTTCTGTAGGCAAAAGTCCAGGCTGTCTGTCCGTAGGCAAAGTCTCTGTAGGCAAACTGTCCGTAGGCAAAGTGTCTGTAGGCAAAGTCTCTGTTAGGCAAACTGTCTGTAAACCTGTAAAGCCTCTGTGGCAAACTGTCCGTAGGCAAAGTCTCAGTGGGCAAACTGTCCGTAGGCAAAGTCTCTGTAAAACCCAAAGTCTCTGTAGGCAAATGTCTCTCTGTGGGCAAACTGTCCGTAGGCAAAGCGTTGTGGGTCTCTATAGGCAAAGTCTCTGTGGGCAAAAATCTCAAACCGTCTGGAGGCAAAGTCTCTAGGGAAAAGCAAACTGTCCGGGCAAAAACCAGTGGCAAAGTCTCAGGCCATGGGCAAAGTCTCTGTAGGCAAAACTGTCAAAGTCACGGTGGCAAAGTCTCAGGCAAAGCCAGGCAAAATCTCTGTAGGCAAAGTTCCAAATTCTCTGTGTACAAAGTCTCTGTAGGCAAAGCAAAGTGTCTGTGCAGGCAAAGTGTCTGTAGGTAAAGTCTCTGTACGCAAAGTCCTGTGCAATGCCCCAAAGTTTCTGTACGCACAGTCTTTGTAGGCAAAGTCTCTGTAGGCAAAAGTCTCTGTAGCCAAAGTGACTGTGGGCAAAGTCTCTGTTAGCAAAAAAGTTTCTGGCAAAGACAGGGCAAAGTCTTTGTAGGAAAACAGTCTGTAGGTAAAACGGCAAAAGTCTCTGTGGACCAAAGTCTCTGTAGGCAAAGTCTCTGTGGGAAAATGTCTATAGGCAAAGTTCTGTAGGCAAAAGTGCAAAGTCTCCGTAGGCAAAGTCTCTGTGGGCAAAAAGTGGTCTCTGTGGGCAACGTTCTGTAGGCAAAGTCTCTGTAGGCAAAGTCTCTGTGGGCAAATTCTGTAGGCAAAGTCTTATAGACAAACAGTCTGTAGGCAAAGTCACAGTGGGTCTCTGTGGCAAAGCTCAGGCAAACTGTCTGTAAAGTCTCCGTAGGCAAACTGTCCTCAATGTCTCTGTGGGCAAAAGTCTCTGTAGGAAAAGTCTCAGTGGGCAAAAAAACCTCTGTAGGCAAACTGTCTGTAGGCAAAGTCTCAAATGGGCAAAGTGTCTCTAGGCAAAGTGTCAAACGTCCGTAGGCAAAGTCTCTGGGCAAAAGTCTCCATAGGCAAACTCTCTGTGGGCAAAGTCTCTATGTGGGCAAGGGAAAGTCTCTGTGGGCAAAGTCTCTGTAGGCAAAAGTCTCGTAGGCAAACTGTCCGTGGCAAGCCTCAGGGCAAAGTCTCAGTGGGCAAAGTCTCTCTCTCTGTAGGCAAACCCTGTAAAATTGTCTCTGTGTGGGCAAAAGTCTCAAGGCAAAGTTTTGTGAAAATCTCTGTAGGCAAATTGTCTGTGGGCAATGTCTCTGTGGGCAAAGTGTCCGCAAACTGTCCGTAGGCAAAGTCTCTGTAGGAAAGCAAACTGTCAAGTAGGAGAAAAGTCTCTGAAGGCAAACTGTCCGTGGGCAAAGTCTCTGTCCAAACTGTCCGTGGGCAAAGTCTCTGTGGGGCAAACTGTCTGTGCAAAGTCCTGGGCAAAGACTCTGTCTGTGGGCAAAAGTCTCTGTAGGCAAAAGTCTCTGTAGGCAAAGTCTCAGGGCAAAGTCTTGTTGGCAAACTCTCTGGGCAAAGTCTCTGTAGGCAACATGTCAGTCAGTGGGCAAAGTCTCAGTGTAGGCAAACTGTCCGTAGGCAAAGTCTCTGTAGGCAAAAGGGCAAAGTCTCAGTGGGCAAAATCTCTGTAGGCAAAGTCTCTGTAGGCAAAGTCTCAGTAGGTGGGCAAAGTCTCTGTTGGCAAAGTGTCTGTAAAGTCACTGTAAAGTCTCTGTAGGGGCCAAATGTCTGTAGCAAATTCTCTGTGAGCCAAAGTGTCCCAAGTGCAAAGTGTCTAGGCAAACCAGTTAAGTCTCTGTAGCCAAAGTGTCTACAAAAAGTCTCTGTGAGAAAAGTGTCTGTAGGCAAAGTCTCTGTGCAAAGTCCCTGCAAAGTGTCTGTGGAAAAACCTATGGGCAAAGTCTCTGTGGGCAAAGTCTCTTTAGGAAAAAGGCAAACTGTCTGTAGGCAAAGTCTCTGTAGGCAAAGTCTCTGTAGGGCAATGTCTCTGTGGGCAAAAGTCTCTGTTAGGGACAAAGTCTCTGTAGGCAAAGTCTCTTTGAAGGCAAGTCCTGTTGGCAAACTCTCTGTAGGCAATGCAAACAAAGTGGCAAAGTTCTGTGGGCAAAGTCTGTCAAAGTGTAGGCTTGTAGGCAAAGTCTCTGTAGGCAAAACAAAACAGTCCGCCTGCAAAGTGTCAAAGTGTAGGCAAAGTCTCTGTGGGCAAAGTGTCTGTAGGCAAAGTCTCTGTAGGCAAAATGTCTATGTAGGCAAAATCTCTCTGAGGCAAAGTGTCTGTAGGCAAAGTCTCTGTCAGGCAAAGGCAAAGTGTCAAAGTGGGCAAAGGGTCCGTGGTCAAAGTGTCAGTGGGCAAAATCTCTGTAGGCAAAAGTCTCTGTAGGCAAAAGTCTCTGTGTAGGCAAAGTGATCTCTGTCTGTAGGCAAAGTCTCTATAGGCAAACTGTCAAACAGTCCGTAGGCAAAGTCACAGTGGGCAAACTGTCTCAAAGTGACAGGGCAAAGTCTCTGTAGGCAAAGTCTCTGTGGGCAAAGTCTCCGTGGCAATGTCGAGGCAAAATGTCTCTGTGGGCAAAAGTCTCTGTGGGCAAAGTGTTCTGTGGGCAAAGTCTCTGGGGCAAACTGTCCGTAACCCAAATTCTCTGTGGGCAAACTGTCCGTAGGCAAAGTGTCTGTGGGCAAAGTCTCTGCAGGCAAAGTCTCTGTGAGGCAAAGCCTCTGTAGGCAAACTGTCCGTAGGCAAAGTCTCAGTGCAAAAAAGTCAAAAGGCAAAGTGTCTGTAGGCAAAGTCTCCGTGGCAAAGCAAAGTCCAAAGTCTCTGTTAGCACAATGTCTCTGTGTAGGCAAAGTCTCTATAGGCAAAGTCTCTGTAAGGCAAAATCTCTGTAGGCAAAGTCTCTGGGTGGGCAAAGTCTCTAAAGGCAAAGTCTCAGTAGGCAAAAATCTCTGCAAAGGCAAAATCTCTCTAGGCAAAAGTCTCTCTAGGCAAAGTGTCTGTAGGCAAAGTGTCTGTAGGCAAAGTCTCTGTAGGCAAAGTGTCTGTAGGCAAGTGTTCAGGCAATGTCTCTGTGGGCAAAATCAAAAGGGAAGTGGTCAAAGTTTCTGTGGGAAAAGTCTTTGTAGGCAAACTGTCTGTAGGCAAAGTCTCTGTGGCAAAAAGTAGGAAAGTGGGCTATAGACAAACAGTCTGTGCAAAGTCACAGTGGTAAAGTGTCTGTAAACCAAAGTCCTCTCTGTAAGGCAATGTCTCTGTGGGCAAAGTCTCTCTGGACAAAGTCTCTGTGGGCAAAGACTCTGTTGGAAAAAGTTTCTGTGGGCAAAAGAGGCTTTGTAGGGCAAACTGTTCTGTGGGCAAAGCCACTGTAGGCAAAGTCTCTGTAGGCAAAGTGTCCGCGGGCAAAGTCCCCTAGGCAAACCGTCTGTAGGCAAAGTGTCTGTAGGGGCAAAGTCTCTATAGGCAAAGTCTCTGGCAAAATCTCTGTAGGCAAAAGTGCCTGTAGGTAAACTGTCAGTAGGCAAAGTCTCAGTGGGCAAAAGTCTCCAAAAGTAAACCAAACTGTCTGGGCAAAGTCTCTGTAGGCAAAGTCTCTGTAGGCAATGTCTCTGTGGGCAAAGTCTCTGGGCAAAGTCACTGAAGGCAAAGTCTCTGTAAGGCAAACTGTCCGTGTGTAGCCAAAGTGACAGTATAAAGTGTCTGTGAGAAAAGTGTCTGTAGGCAAAGTCTCAGTGGGCAAAGTCTCTGTGAGGCAAAGTCTCTCTGGACAAAGTCTCAGTGGGCAAAAGTCTCTGTTGAAAGTTTCTTGTGGGCAAATTCTCTGTAAACCAAAGTCTCTGTGGGGCAAACTGTCCGTAGTGCAATGTCTCTTTGAAACAAAGTCACTGTAGGCAAACTGTCTGTAGGCAAAGTTTCTGTGAGGCAAAGTCTTTGGCAAAACTGTAGGCAAACTGTCAATGTCTCTGTGGGCAAAGTCTCTGTAGCAAAAGTGACAGTGGGCAAAGTGTCTGTAGGTGAAAAAGTGTCTGTCCGTAGGCAAAGTCTCTGTTCTGTAGGCAAAGTCTCTGTTGGAAAAAGTTTTCTGGTGGGCAAAGTCTTTGTAGGCAAAGTTCTGTAGGCAAACTGTCCGTAGGCAAAATTCTCTGCAAACTGTCCAAACTGTTTGAAGGCAAAGTCCCCGTAGGCAATGCAAACCGTCTGTAGGCAAAGTCTCAAATAGGCAAAGTCTCAGTGGCAAAGTCTCTGTAGGCAAAGTCTCTGTGGGCAAAGTCTCTGTGGACAAAACTGTCCGTAGGCAAAGTCTCTGAGGGGGAAACTGTCCGTTTGTCAGTGGCAAAGTCTCTGTGGGCAAACTGTCCGTCAGTGGGCAAAGTCTCTCAGGCAAAACCTGTAGGCAAACGGTCAAAGTCTGTAGGCAAAGTGTCTTTGAAGGCAAGTCTCTGTGGGCAAAGTCTCTGTAGGCAAAGTCTCTGTAGGCAAAGTCTCTGTAGGCAAAGTGTCTGTAGGCAAAGTGCAAGTCTCTGTGTGGGCAAAGTCTCTGTAGACAAAGTGTCTGTGGGCAAAGTCTCTTTAGGCAAAAAACCAAAAAGTCTCTGTGCTCTGTAGGTAAAATTCTGTACGCACAGTCTGTAGGGCAAAGTCTCTGTAGGCAAAGTCTCTGTAGGCAAAAAATGCAAAAGTCTCTGTTAGCAAAATTTCAGTCAAAGTCTGTGGGCAAAGTCTCTGTAGGCAAACAGTCTGTAGGCTGTGGGCAAACTCTCTGTAGGCAAAGTGTCTGTAGGCAAAGTCTCTGTAGGCAAAATGTCTGTAGGCAAAGTCTCTGTAGGCAAAGTGTCTGTAGGAAAAAGTCTCTTGTAGGCAAAGTGTCCGTAAGGCAAAGGGTCTCTGTGTAGGCAAAGTCTCTATAGGCAAAGTCTCTGTGGGCAAAGTCTCTGTAGGCAAAGACAACAGTCTGTAGGCAAAGTCTCTAAAAGTCTCTGTCGGCAAACTGTAGGCAAAGTCCTGTGGGCAAAGTCTCCGTGCAAAGGCAAACTGTCTCTGTGGGCAAAGTCTCTGTGGGAAAAAGTCTCTGTAAACCAAAGTAGGCAAACTGTCCGTAGGCAAATGTCTCTGTGGGCAAACTGTCTGTAAGCATGGGGCAAAGTTTCTCTGTGGGCAAAGCCTCTGTAGGCAAACTGTCCGTAGGAGCCAGGTGGGCAAAGTCCCTGTAGGCAAACTGTCTGTAGGCAAAGTCTCTGTAGGCAAACTGTCAAAGTTCTATAGGCAAAGTGTCTGTAGGCAAAGTATCTCTATAGGCAAACTGTCCGTAGGCAAAGTCTCAGTGGGCAAAAGTCTCAGTGGCAAAGTCTCTGGGCAAACAGTCAGTGGCAAAGTCTCCCAGGCAAAGTGTCTGTAGGCAAAGTCTCTGTAAAGGCAATGTGTCCTGTTGGAAAGTCACTGAAGGCAAAAGTTTCTGTGGGCAAAGTCTCTGTAGGCAAAGTGTCTTTAGGCAAAGTCTCTGTAGGAGAAAGTGTCCGTAGGCAAAGTGTCTCTGGGCAAAGTGTCTGTAGGCAAAGTCTCTGTGGGCAAAGTGTCTGCAAAGTAAAATCTCTGTGCAAAGTCTCTGTGGACAAACTGTCCGTGGGCAAAGTGTCTGTAGGCAAACAGGCTCTTCTGTTCTGTGGGCAAAGTCTCTGTAGGCAAAGTGTCTGTAGGCAAAGTCTCAGTGGCTCTAGGGCAAAGTGTCTGTAGGGCAAAATCTCAGTGGCCTCTGTCTCCGTAGGCAGGCAAGTCTCTGTAGGCAAAGTCTCTGTAGGCAAAGCCAAACTGTGTCTGTGGGCAAAGTCTCTGTAGGCAAACCGTCTGTCTCTGTAGGCAAAGTCTCTGTGGGCAAAGTCTCAGTGGCAAAGTCTCTGTAGGCAAAGTCTGTAGGCAAAGTCTCTGTAGGCAAAGTGTCTGTAGGCAAAGTCTCTGTGAGCAAAGTCTCTGTAGGCAAAAATCTCTGTAGGCAAACTGTCTGTAGGCAAAGTCTCTGTAGCCAAAGTGACAGTGGGGCAAAGTGTCAGTGGAGAAAAGTGTCTGTGGGCAAAGTGTTAGGGCAAAATCTCTGTAGGAAAAGTCTCTGTGGGCAAAGTCTCTGCAAACTGTCCGTAGGGAAAATCTCTGTGAAACAAAGTCTCTATAGGCAAAGTCTCTGTAGGCAAAGTCTCTGTGGGCAAAAATCAAAGTCTCTGGCCAAAGTCTCTGTAGGCAAAGTCTCTGTGGGCAAAAGCTCTGTAGGCAAAGTCTCTGTGGGCAAACTGTCCGTAGCCAAAGTCTCTGTGGGCAAAGTCTCTGTGTAGCAAACTGTTTCTGTGTAGGCAAATGTCTCTGTGGCAGCCCTGTAGGCAAACTGTCGTAGGCAAAGTCTCTGCAAACTGTAGGCAAACTCAGGGGCAAACTCTCCGTCACTGAGCAAAGTCTCTGTAGGCAAAGTCTCTGTAGGCAAAGTCTCCGTAGGCAAAAATCTCTGTAGGCAAAACCTCTGTAAAGCAAACTGTCTGTAGGCAAAAGGCAACTGTCGTAGCTAAACTCTGTAGGCAAAGTGTCTGTAGGCAAACTTGCAGTCTTCTGTAGGCAAACTGTCCGTAGGCAAAAGTCTCTGTAGGCAAAACTGTCCTCTGTAGGGCAAACTGTCAGTAAGGCAAAATCTCTGTAGGCAAAGTCTCTAAGGGCTCTGTGTCCGAGGCAAAGTCTCTGTGGGCAAACTCTCTGTAGGCAAAGTCTCTCTGGGCAAACTCAGCAAAAGTCTCTGCAAAGCAAAGTCTCTGCAGGCAAACAGTCCTGTAGGCAAAAGTCTCAGTGGGCCAAAGTCTCTGTAAAGTGTCCGGAGCAAAGTCTCTGTAGGCAAAAAAAGTGTCTGGGCAAAGTCTTTAGGGCAAAGTTTCTCTGGTAGGCAAAAGTCTTTGTGGGCAAAGTCTCTGTAGGCAAAGTCTCTGTATGCAAGTCTCTGTAGGCAAAAGTCTCTGTAGGCAAAGTCTCTGTAGGCAAAGTGTCAGGTAAAGGTACGCAAAGTCTCTGTGGGCAAAGTCTCAGTAGGAAAAAGTGTCTGTAGGCAAAGTCTCTGTAGGCAAAGTCTCTGTAGGTAAACAGTCTGTAGGCAAAGTCTCTGTGGGCAAACCGTCCGTAGGCAAAGACTGTCTGTGGGCAAAAGGCAAAGTCTCTGTGGGCAAAGTCTCTAGGCAAAGTGCAGGCTGTCTAGGCAAAATGCCTGTAGGAAAAAGTTTCTGTGGGCAAGTTATAGGCAAAGTGTCAGTGGGCAAAGTCTCTGTGGGCAAAATTGGGCTGTCTGTAGGCAAAGTCTAGGCTGTAGGCAAAGTGTCTGTGGGCAAAGTCTCTGTGGGCAAACTCTCTGTGGGCAAACTGTCTGT